TGTGTTAGATTTAATTGTATTAGCTAATCCATGGATTAATTGGGTCAGGTTGGCAATATCTCTTTATGGTATAAAGTAATGTAGGAGGGCAGAGTTTGAAGCAGAGGGTTGAATCCTCAGGCTTAATGAGAAAGAAGGCTTCAGCATACGTATTTAAACAAGGGGTTATTGACAGAAGGAGAATGGATGTGAGACATGGAAACACAGCAAATACAGGAGCGACCCAGATCACCTTGACCACAGCTCCTGTGGGCAAATGTCTGCTCCGGCCTCAGGCAACCAGGGGCTGACAGGAAGCTTCTGCATTGTCCCTTTTCCCCCATACAAATCCAAAATCCAAAGGTTTGGACTTGTCCTTTCTATCTATTCCCCCTGCAGAGCAGCTGGCACACCAGCCTGCCTCTGCCCTCTCAATCTTCCTTTTCCTCCCTCAGTAATTTTTCCATGCAGCACCTCCCTCCACCTGCTCGCCCAGCTCGCTCACAGAACCACAGACTGCCTGAGGCTGGCAGGGACGTCTGGAGGTCACCTGGTGCTTCAGCAGGGACACCTACAGCTGATTCCTCTCCAAAAGGTCCTGGTGGGTTTGAAGCTCTCCAGGAGGAGCCCCCAGCCCCTCTCTGGGCAGCCTGTGCCAGGGCTGCGGCACCCGCCCAGCACAGACGTGCTGCTGGGGGCCAGGGGCAGCCCCTGGGGCTCCAGCTTGGGGCTGAGACCTCTGGGCCTGGCCCTGGGTGCTGCTTCAGCACCCAGGAGCCTGGGTCCGTCCTCTTAACACCCTCCCTTTGGTAGTTATAAACATGAATAAGATCCCTCCTTCTCCAGGCTGAGTAGTGCCAGCTCTGTCAGCCTCTCCTCAGAGGAGAGGTGCTCCAGGCCCTAAACTATCTTGGTAGCATCCTGTTGGACTCCAAGTTGTTAAGAGGTGGCCCTCCTTTGGACTCTCTCCACTATATCTAGGTCTCTCTTGTTGCAATTCATACTGGTTTTATGCAAAACGGGCTTAATTCTCACAGAGCCACAGTGAGCCCATGCGTGTGATGAAGGGCTGCGTGTTTATGTTCATGATACTCTTAGCTACTATAAATTATACGCGTGGGAGTGTAGTTTGCAAATTCAGCAGTCTTGTATGGTCTCTCCACCCACATAATTTTATTACGAGTGTGTCAGCTTGGTGGGAGCCTAGCATGCCTGGAGGGAGAGGAAGAGGAGAGCCCAAAGCACAAGGGTAAGGGTGCACGGCAGCTGCCCTCCACCTCTCCAGGCATAGGTGTCAACAGGTCTACAGGAGATGATACTGGCCCCTGGCTTTAATTATAGGAAAGTGAAATAATGCTAAATAGAGCAGAGACAAAGAGGGGAGTGCAATGGAGGGAGTAGGGTTTCCCTCACTCACTCTGCTCCCAGGGAGTCCTGCGAGATCAGGGGGTGCGAGGCACAGCCATGAACTCAGCGCAAAGGGCAAGAAAGCCGGTCACGTTTGGGTATTCATTGCCGGTGATCACACAGTATGCTTTTAAACCTATCAAAAAATGCTCAAGTACCGCTGCACTTCTTTATGGCTTTAAAACTGATGTAAATTTACATGCAAATTAGGTGCAGCCCTCAAGCTCTTGGCAATTTGCCACTGCAGCCTTCGATATTGCCCCTGAGTAGATCATCTTTTATGAGAAAGCCATCAGTCATCCCACAATACTGTAGGAGGATAATTTCCTTGCATGAGTTGCATAAAGATGGCACTGCATATTTGACAGAGCACAGCCCGTAGCGCTGCACTACCAAAAGCAAAGAGAGGAAACAGTTTTGCTTTTCGGATCTGGTTGGCTGGTTGGTTTCTTTTCTAGGCTACTGAACAACTGTAGAAATTGGAATTAAAGGATTAAAACAATACTTTTTTTTTTGAACTGAAATTCAGTATTCTCACGTATGTGCAAGTGATTGAGATCTTTCGATAAACAATACAATTTAACTGTTGTGTACACTCCCTGATACCACTTATTACAAATGTTGTATTTCTTTCCACTTCACTGGCTTACTGGTTAAATTTACCTATCTGTAAAGAATGTCACAGAAAAAAATAACTCCTGATGGTGAAATCCTGAAAATTACTGGTCATCCCCGCAAAAAATAATTTTTGAGAGGAATTTCTTTATAAGAGTTGTTACAATTGCTTACTGCTATAAACTCCTACTGTTTGCTTCTTGATTGCTTGTTTTGGTGAAATGTTAATAATGCAGCAGTGGATAGAAAGAGTCGATAATGAGGTAATGTGTATTTATGGGATATATGTCCAAATGATCCTTAGTGCATGGTTGTTTGAAAATAAATAGTGTATTGATTGAAACAACTATGGAACTAAATGGTATTCCAACACGTGGTGATAGCTGATAATTACTTAGAAGCCATTTTTTTGTGTTAATACAGCAACTATTCTATTTTTACCTTCTTTGTATAGAAAGGCAAATCCACTTAGAAAAATATGATAATGATTTCCTGGGGTTTCTGTATCAGTTTGATAATTCTCCCACTGATGAAAATACAATATTCATACATATTTTCTGACACAAGAATATCTACATAGTCCCATTTCAACACAGTCAATAGCAATTTGAAAGAGGTTTTAAATAGAATTTAATGTAGCCATATCACTAATACTCTATTAATACCACATAATCTCCTGTCATGGGAACAATCAATGGGAACCATCTCCACGAGCTCTACATAGGTGAAAATATCCAAGAGAAGCCTTAAATTTGGGAGGTGAAATCTTCCATGGCAATGTTTTTGAAACACTGGAGTTCTCTCTGTGTAAGTGAGATTTGCACATGCAGAAATTAGAAATTTCAGGTAGCCATTGCTACAAGAAAAATACAAGTAAGAAATAAGATCTGTTTGTGAAAAATGTCACGTAACTTTAGCAGGCACTTTTGAAGTGATGTTCAGGGAGAATGAATGGTTCTTTGTAAATAAAAAGCCTCTTGCCTTGCTTATGTTATGCAGACTGTAGGTTTTAAATATTTCCCAAATGGCTTATTTTGGGTAAATAAATGGAAGTTATGAGGAAGATGATAAGATAGGAGAGGAGGAGAGGGTTATCAGATAAATGGGTTTTCCTTTCTGATTTGATGGACTCTGATTCAAGTTCTCTTTATATTCTAAACCCATCAGACAAAATTCCTAAAGAGAGGAAGAGCTGATAAAGTTTATGGGGTGAACAGCAAATGGAAAAAAAAAAAATCAATTTTGTTTGCTAGGATGGTTTGCAAATATGCAGTAAATTAAGAAACCAGGTTCAATCAAAAATAAAGCAGTAATAGGCTTGTTTGTCTGTTTGTTTTTCCATGTCAGAATAAAAATTAAAAATGAGTTTTTTTAATGTTAACTAATTATACCCTGAGCTGCAGTCAGTGGAGCTGGGTTTTACCAAATGTTTGGGATGCTGGGGTGTTTTAACCAAATATTTGGCATTGATAGTTGCCAATGGAATACAAATCCCAAATATTTGGCATTGACTCGCACAAAATGATGTAAATAATGACTTGATAATCTGTTCTCAGCATGAAGAAAATACTCTCTGCCTTGCCTTATAATCAAGGCATCTTACAATTATTAGCAGCATTGTTTTGTTGTCTGATTTTGCAGTTGGAAAAACATAGAATAAAGAAACCTGAGGATGTGTTCACTCTCCCAAGTGTGACATACCCAAAATGTAACACAAAGCCTCCTCTACTTGACTTTACACTTTAGGTTAAAAAAAAACTTGCTACTAGGTCACAGCTAAGATGACCACAATATCCTCTCTTGTAAGCATTTCTTTCAAGTGCAATTGGAGGCATAAAATCTATAGTGATCTATAATACTCTATCCCCTGGTTTCTTTTATAATTCATCAGACCTTTTGTAGTTGCTATCATCTACATTGAAAGCTTTGAAACTACTGAACTATGAAGTTAAATCACATTTAATTGCCTGCCCGCAGCATCAGAAAGGAAAAAGTTGAATCATTTATTCACTTATAAACACTCTCTACACAGCACATGCAGCCTGCTAGATTTAAGAACAGATACCTTAATACCTGCTAGCTTAAAATCCAAATGAGCATTACACAAACCTATAAGCATTTAGCAAACAATTTTTTAGCATTTTTTTTTCTCTCAAGGAAGTCAGAAAGAAGCATACAAATATACCATTTAGGTAATTCAAAGGGCAGTTGCATTTTTGCATAGGAAAAATCAAGGTTATGGGGCATTTGTCGAAGCAGTTGTAAAGCCAACCCAGTTTCTGTAATTGCCAGCACAAGTCTAACAGTGCAGCCTGCAGCAGTTGCACCACTACAGCTCTGTGTTTATTGATCCCTGTGATTCAATGTTTTTGCTCATGGGCATAAGTCAGCACTTTCAGCAGATCAGCACAATGGTGGAAGGATCAATCATTACTTTCCCCCTCCTGAGCCATTTTAATTGTGATATCAAAGATGGAGTAATCCTTTCTTAGGTCAGAAGATGCATTTGAAGCCAGGACAAAACTGTGCTATAAAAGCAGACAGGCTCTGGTATGCAGATCGAGAGGAAAACTTCCTAATTCCACGAACTGACCTGAAAGCAGCAGCCAGTGATGCTGAGCTCAGTTTAAATTGTTACAACAACCAACTCAATAAATAAAGTGGTTCACTTCCCTCACCTCTCCCTTGGCAGCAGCTGAGAACTGAAAGACAAACCATCTCTGCAGGACAATGGCGCTCCAGGGAAATTATTAAGCTCAGGCTCACAGTCTTTATTTTGACATTCGAGAATAACCCAGAGTGCAGACATGTTACCAGACATGTGAGGGCTGATCTCATTTGAACTTTAGCTGCGTCTTTTTTTTTTTTTTTCCTTTTAAAATTTCTTTCCTTCCATCCGCCAGTGTTTAACCCGTGAGAAGTAATTTCTTTAAAAATAAAGGTCTTCAGAGCCCAGCTGTCAGTTGTTGTGATTAATGGAGAGGTGTAATTAGAGGCAGCAGAGAGTTGTGATAGCAGCTTGTCAAAATGCAGGAGCGCTGCCTATAGCGGGATTCATCGTTTTGCTCTTTTGCTTGGAGGTGTGTTTTCTTCATCTTTAGTTGTGCTGGATATTAAGGCATTCGTGCTCCACGTGTAAGATTGCTCTATAGCTTATGAGTCTTTACTGGTTGCTCTCCTATGGATGGGGCCAGTATGGGAACTGCTGAGTGAGGTAGGGAGAGAAAGGAGTTTTCTTCAGGGGCTCTGTGCTGGCCACACCATCAAGACATTTTGTTTGGGTGCAAGGTAATCCCTTGATCTTCTCCCTCCTCATTTTGGTTCCTTTTAATCCTAAGAACAATTCCAAGGAATTTAAAGCTGAGAAATCCAGAAGATCTCCTGCTGTAGGCTTTCATCCCCCTGGAGAAAACATCAATGCTGACCCAGGCAGCCTCCTTCTACAGAGAAGCGAGGGGAAACTTTGAAGTGGGCCTGGAGAGTCAAGAGAGGAGTTTTGTCTGGGAAACTGCTTTGGAAATGTTGAACTGCTCAGCTGCCACTCAAGAGATGCCAGAAGGACAGAAGAAACTGTGATGTCCCTCACTCCCTTTGGGTTGCAAGTGAGAGATGGGACATAGCTGGGGGCTGGCTGGTGATTGTGATCTAGAGACCAGCCACATTAATGCAAGGGCTTCAATTAAAGGATTTCACGGGAGGGATGCAGAACTTGCCCCCGAGGTCCTGACTGAGTGAGGAAGGCAGCTGCTGCAGGCGGGGGGGCAGCTCCTGCCCCTCACCACAGGAGCACCACGAGTGGTTGTAACGCCGGGCATCTCTGTCCTGCAGCTGATGGAAAGGTGAGGAAAGGGCTCCCCGGCCTAATTAATTTGGAGTGCCCTGAAGATAAATCAAGGCTGAAAACACACAGCCTGCCTGAGCACTGAAATTACATTCCAGGCACATAGTTACTCAGCAGCTTTTATGTGGGGATCCGCAGCACAACCTTACAGCACGAGCGTGTCTTCCTGGTCGCTGCTGAGCTGTCAGGTTGCACACCTGGAAACAGAAGGTTTGGGACCCGCTGCAAGATTAATTCACTGCGTATTGGTGAGAAATTTAGTTATCTTGATAAAAGACCTTCACAGGAGCCTTTGCATTGTGTCCAATAATGTCATGCTGTGCTGTGGGAGTGCCAGAAGATGTCAACCAAAAGCAAGGCTGTGGTGTAGGTGTTCAGTACTGGACCTCGAGACTTCTCATCTGACCCTCACACAGCGAAACATAAGCACAGGTAGCTCTGGATACTTTGATCTCTCACAATGTCCTTCAAAACTAGCAAAATGTCCCCATTTAATTTTGCATTTAACTGAAATCACAGCAGTTGGCTCTTTCGTATCAGTGATATTAAAAAGGCCTCTGTGTACACAAATTGGGTAACACATCCTGCCACTTCATTTACATCCAGAAATGGGCAAAAATTCAAAATCTTTGTGCCTACATTTAAAGCGAAATTTGGAGTGAGGAATCTGTGACCGAGCTACTCAAAAGATGGGAGCACTGAGTGGAAAAGGTACACGTGTAAATAAAATAATTAGGAAAGAAGTGTCAGCGTACAAAGCAGGGGAGGAATGGAATAAAAGAAGGAAAGCAAAATGCAGATTCCCTGAGATGGGAACGCACAGCAGGTGTTTGGACAGTAAACAGGCAGTAGTAGATGATTTTATGGCAGTCCTACAGTGAAATGAGGTCATGCTGCAGACAGAGGCAATCTAGTGGACAAAGATAGGTGCCTTTAAAAATTAAGATGTACAGAATGAGGTTATTGGAGGTGGAGCTGGCATAAAACTGCAGAGATGGATGGAGAGGTATCAACAAAGAGGGAAAAGGTAGGAGAGAGAAGAAAGGCAGCGTATCATGCGTTCCCTGCAGAGAAAACTATTATGACTTTTAGATAACTTTAATAGTCCGAATCCTCGAGATACTGTTATCAGGAGAAGGAGCTTGAAATACAGCACTAGATAAAAGCAAATCACAGCTCTGACATAACTTGTGTAATAGCATCCCCCCCTCTGTAAGGCGATGCTGAGAAAGTTCAGATTTTGATCTATTGCTGCCTTGTGCTGGGTGTGATCCAACGTGGGGAAGTCAACACAGTTTGATACCCAGCAAACAACTTTGTGTTTTAAATCTAAAGCAAGGCAACTTTTTGGATTAATATATATATTTTTTTTTCTCTGAAAACCAGAAGTTGGGATGGATAAACTGGAACTGGAGAGAAAAGAAGTGGTTTTGTTCTGATGTGCTATGAAGCACTTGTGCTTCCTCCCTTCCTCCCATCTCCCCCAGTTTGGGAAGCAAAACCCAAACTGTTTGCCACAGATCTTTTTCCTTGCTTCACATAATTTATATATATGTATATGTATTGGTAGAAATGGACCCAGGCTCCCTTCAGCAGCACCCAGGGCCAGGCCCAGAGGCCTTGGGCCTAAGCTGGAGTCCCGGAGGCTGCCCCTGGCCCCCAGCAGCACGTTTGTGTAGTTGTATAACTATATAAATATAAATTAAATTATGGGTACTTTGCTACCCATGCCGTCCCCTTTTAACTTTTGCTCCTCTCATGTGCTTTTATCTTATTTTTTTAATTATTTATTTTTTTTTAATGCATAAGGTGACCCCAGCTATTTTCTAATCCATATTAACATTCATTTCTCTCCCCCTACCCAGGCCATTGGAAACCAGGGAGTTATTGTGTGAGAAGCAATCACAGCAAACGCACTCCATGGGTTAAAGGTAGGGCTCCCCCTAATCACGGCACCATCCCTTCTGTTCAGGGCGCCAAGCCAGTGTTTGCTGTCCTAACTCTTGGTTTCATTAGGAAGAGAAAGCGGTGGTAGAGTCGAGTGGCTCTCTGATGAGACCCTGCTTGTTTCTTATACTCGTTTGCACTCCCATTTTCCTGAATGCAGCAGGGTTTGAGCAGTACAAGGCAGCATGCCCTGCTCCTTCTCGAGTCAACATTCAGAACCCACAGTGTTTTCTTTGGTTTGTCTCTGGGCAGTTCTGGGCAATGCTTCCCATCTGCCTTTTCTTGCTGTTTCTCCACTGTTTTTCCTTTCTTCCACAATACAAAACGCTTCCCAAGGTAACCTCAGAGAAATCTGTGCACCTGTGTGTACTTGGCACGTAGCAGTGGTTTGCACGGAAGGTGCTTTGTTCATGCATTAACCCAGCTACCTGCCTTATCGCGAGCACTTGTGTGCTGGTAGGCTTCTGAAAGGTAGGGTTGTTCTTTCAGCTCGTGAATTAAACCAGGGCTAATCCAGCTTGTGGGAATAATCTGTGATTTTCTACCTGACCTGGACAGGCTCTCATGAAAACTTGTTACAGGCACGCTCTTAATAATGGTAGGTTTTTCTTTATTACTTATTTCCTTAATTTATGTATTTCTAGTTTCTGTGCCATAAGTCAGAATAGTTGAGAAGAAATGTCTTCTGAAAGCTAGCTCCTGTTGTGGGTTCTTCCCTGAGAAAACTGGCGAATCCTTCTTGTTCATTGTGGCTGAGCACATAATAAATGTAAACACCGTGTTTGCTTTGTGGAAGGAGGTAGCAAACTACCAAAGCAGCCCCCTCATAATTCATCTCAAGGGCATGTTTAAAGCAACAGAAAAAGCTGAAGCTTGGCTGTAGTGATGAGACTCCCAAGGTTATGAAGAGAACAGGCAACTGCTGTTGTCCCACAGCCAAATCCACTCTGACAAGACTGGAGGAGCACTCCTTGTGGGAATCTGTGCTTAATCAGGGGGACTAAAACATTTTCTGGTATTTAGCTGGAACAATAATCCTGTGTCTCACTTCTTCCCAGTTTCTGGCCGAAACGGCTGGATTCCTTTGTAGATTTTGTGCTGCCTTTTTGTGTTTTGACAAATGCCTTAAGGGGAAACCAGCTCAAGGAGGTAGGTGTTGTGGCCAGCTCTGAATGCGATGAGGTCATGAGGTCGATGAGGTTGGTGATGGGGTCATTCTCACCTCCTTGTAGTGTGTGCCGTGCTCCTGCCCTGCTTTCCGCTCCTCTTCTCATGGCAGGGTGGAGGGGAGAGAAGAGGGAATCCTGAAAAAAGCAGCACTAAGTAGCTAGTAAACGAAAATGATCGTTTTTAAGAGTGGTTCATGTTTATTGTATAATGAAGAGGAAAGAGTCCTTTAATTAATATTAACAATTGAGAGAAGATTAGAGCAAAAATACCCTATTAACGCTTTCTCTAATCCACCTATAATTGTATACCCAGCTATCAGTGAAGCACTTAAACCCCCAAAAAAGCTTTGGTAAGAACCAGAAGGCAATTGTCCGCTTCAGCATCTCAGGCATTTGGATGTGGACGTAATCCAGCTACGATTGTCCTTCATTCCTCTATCACGGTGCTGCTGGTGGTCCTGGACCAGGTTGGTGACTGCACAGCTTTGGCTCTCAAAGGGAGCCCCGTGGTGCAGCCAAGCACTGAAACGTGGGAGCTGCCACTGAGCATGGGAGGAAATTTGCTCCTGTGTGACAGGAATAAGGCTGTCCTGCGTTCCCTTCAGTGATCTGCCCCTCTGCATTAACACACAAGTTTCAGCATTATTCAAATAATCTTGATTGCTTTGTCTGGGGAAAAAAAAAAAAAAAAAGCGTATCTGATCACTGCTAGTTCGCATCACTTTTTACTTAAGTTCGGAGAAGGCACAGCTCTCCAGTGAATTAATTAATTTCAGTCAATTTTGACAGACTGCTTAAATCAGCTTAGAAGTGCCACAGCTGAGTAAACCCATCTAGGAGTTTATGATTGCTCCTTTTCGAAGGATCTGCTCAGTACCAACAGCAACTGGAACAGTGCAGTGAGGAGAACCACTTAATTAAATAACAGTTACGAGAGCAGACAATGGTAAATATATACGGTTCCTATAACGAAATTGATACGAAGCTTTAAAGAATGATAAGCATTACTTTTAAACATTTATATGTTTTTAGTTACATTCAGGATTCAGTGGGAGATGTAAAACATCCTCCTCCATGTCACAGACCTGATCACGCGTCAGCTTTTGAGCTCAGCATGCAGCAGGCTCTCCTCCTGCAGCCAGTGTGCAGCTGCCTCTTCCCAAGGCTGGGGTGCTAGTCTTTCCCAAATAATTTGATCACACACCAAAAAATATTATTTCATTAACGTGGCCCATCACCCTTACATATGCCAAACTGACACAAACTCCCTGTCCCAAAGAAAAAGTACATTATAAGTGCAGACACCTATGAGGGTGACCTCTAGACCAAAAATTTCTTTACTAATATCAGTTTGAGAGGACACAGCCTGTGGATCTTCTGTGAAATGTAGCTTTCTTCCTGTGCTTTCTATTTAATTATTTTTAAAGAGCAGTAAAATCTTAGAAAACTATGTTGTTATATCTTAACAGGTCCCTCTGCCCTTAACTTTTGCAGAAGGTATTTTCCCATGCTCTGTTTTGATTATAAGAGAAAAAAGTTAAATGCAGCCACCTCGAACTTAAACATGGGAATGGTATTTGTATTATCCTTTCAATTAGTCCTGTGTTTTCCTGAATCTCGGTGCCTAATTGTAGCAGCCAACCTAATTGACCCGTTTAAGTCTTAATTTACCGGAGGCCTGCCATTGATGCGACGTCTCCAGAAACTGTGCCAGTCCTAGCAATAGAGGCAGTCAGAAACTGTTGTCATCTCCTGGTTGCTCTTCCTTCTTGAATCATTTAAAAAGGTCATGAATTTCTTAGAAAATCAGAAAACAAAGCACCGACAAGTAAAGAAAGCCCTTTGTAAGTTTATATATGGGAATCAATTTACTTACATGAATTGGGAAATGATGCTGTGGCCAAAGGGAAAATGTGAAACCCCATACACTACACAATGAAATTACTTCTTGTTGCTCATTGTTTCAGGTCGAGCAGGTTACTGTGCCTGTAAATTTCTTTTACTACGAGGCACAGTTGCTGCAGATGACAAAGCAATCAAAAACTACACACCTTGGGGAGCCTTGGCAATTTACATGGCAAAGCAAAGAAGATGTGGGCTTTGTGCCTCCTAGCAGCCAGCAGGAGGCTTTTCCATCAGCCCCAGAGAAGCTGAGATTTCATCCAGAATAGCTTTGAAGAGCTTTTGACTAAAGTAGACCCAAAGAAGAAGTACAGCAAGAAGAGATGACAATTAGCAAGTGAGAGTGCAGAATATGGTACTAGGCTTGCGCTGATGCTTCATGGTAATGTGTGGTTTTCATTATCTTACTTGGAAAAAAAGCAATCTTTCTGTTTTTAAACTAAAATGAGAGAACCGAGCAGCACAGGTAATACTAAGAGGTTGCTCTAATGCAACCATTACCCAAGCAATTCCAAAGCAGTAATGGGCAAACAGGATTTTCTTTCTTTTCTGTCTGTTCTGCCCCCTAGACTTCTGTTGGAAGTCAGTGCAGACTCTCGGGCTGAGGATGTGCGTGTGTGGAGCACACAAGCTGGATCTACTAGCTGACCATGAACAAGGGCAGTGGAGCTGAGGGACAGGCTCCCTGCAGAGGCTGTGCTGTCCTTGATGGTTTCAAAACTCATCAGGGTATAGCCCTGAGCAGCTGGGGCTGGCCCTGCCTGAACTGTGTGGAGAAGACAATTTGCTAACCATCAGCTGAGAAATTTGATTGATATTTTAAAGGTTTGCTCCTGCTTCTCATATACTTTTTTTTTTTTTTCCTTTTCTGCTGACATCAGCTCTACCTGACCTGAATGGAGGCATGGAAGTATGAAAGGAAAACATTAAGTCGATATGGTTCGAAATGATCTATTTATTTTGGTGTGGCTGCCAAACGGAAAATCACGGCCCCATCTGTGCTGCAGTCCCGGCCAGGCGTCTCAGCTCATTGGGATGGGCATTTAATGAAAGCTGAAGTGGCAGTAATGGTGCCAGAGAATTCACTGGGAAAACATGGGTGGCTCTCAGAAACTGAGGGAAATGCAAGGTTATGCTGAGGCTCATGAGGGCTGTCCTGAGCCATTAGTTCCTTAACCATTATCCCTTTGTGGGTTTGTGTCCCTGTAGGAGCCGCAGCAGAAGTGACCTTTAAGGGAGGCTTTGAAGGAGGAACATCAGGTCTCCTCTCGGATTTGAGAGGGGAATGCTTTCAGTCCATTAAGAGTGGCACGGAATGCAATTCAAAACTGAGAAGTATGACACAGCAGCAGGCAAGCTGGTATTAGTATTGGAGCAGAGGCAGGGATCAACATCTCCGTAATAGTTTGTGTTCGAAGCAATAGGGAAGAGCAGCCAGTGGAGGGCTGCGAACAGAAGAGTCATTTGGCTGAAGCAATGAGCCAGAAAAATTATCTGTGAAGAAGGATGGCTGTAAGCGAGGTGGCTGGGGATTTGTCAGGGTCAGAGAGATGCTTCTAATAGTCCAAGACAGAGGTTAATCAAGACCAATACAAGCATTTTGCAAAGTGCAGTTAAAGAGGCAAAACTCTTAGATCTGTTGTCTAAGGAAGACCTCACAAACGTGCAGGAAAAAGCACAGGGGCTGACTAACTCCAGCAGAGCTTATATCGAATTATTAGAACTAACAATAGGACCTGTCTCTTCATAAGCTTGGTTAATATTGCTTCGGGGAAGCAAAGACAATATTAAATGTTTGTATCTATGTAGGAGATCGTAACATCATCTCACTCTGTTTATTATCATTTAATTCTTTAGGACTCTTAAAATTGTAATAGTCTTCTGTTGGTGATGCAGTGACGAAGATATAACCAAGTCCAACTGTACTGCTAATCAGGACCCATGAACAGCACAGCCTGTTACTGAATATATTTTACTAGCATGAGCCCAATTAATACCAGATTGTTCATTAGGAATCCAATAGCTTATGTTTAAATGTAAAAAAAATATTTGGGAGATAAATATTTAAGCAAATAGAGGCTATTACGTGTGCTTTGTCAGTTGAGATATTTGGCATGTCAATTTATTTTTCTATTTATTACAAGAAACTAAAACGAGTCAAAATAGTAAATGCTTCTTCTTTTTACAAATTGCCCATGAAGTGAATCATTAAGCGGTAGGCTGTGTCTGCCGCGCAGAAGAGTTGCTCTGCGCTGCTGATTGCTGTGTTCCAGGCTGCGCAATAAAGGCAGTTCTTCATAATTGTCTCTGCTACAATAAAGGAGAAGTATAATGAAGAACTTAGGTTACATTATTTTTTTAATAGCAGAAAGGAAGGGATTTTTCACTCCAAACAAAGCCTCTTCTTTCTCTCGCGTCTGTGAACATGAGGTTGTCCTCAGCACAGTTCACAGTAATGAGTAAGTAATGAGTTGAGGGCAATTTAATGATGAGGCAAGTAAGTTATATAATCGGGTATTATATGGTCACCTATAAAGGCATGGACAAATCTACCATTGCCTCTAAAAGAGCCAAAATTTCACCTACGTCATAGCAGACATTTGGGAGAGTAACTCTTAACTGCAGTGAAGTACTCAGCCAATTTTCAAAATCTTAGAGTCCGTGTGAAATGCAAGTTGCCAATTACTATTTATGTTCTTAAAACAAAAGGAAGACGGCATTCATTGAAAGGTATCCAAATGAAATTTAGAAACATAGCTTGATGAATAATGATGCGGAAAAAAATTGGGAACAATTGCTACAGAATTGCTGAAGTCCAAGAGCGCAGTTCAGCTCATTATTGCTCTGTGAGAGCTTGTCAGGGGGGTTTCCTCCCCATATTTTCTTGTCAATTTAGCAAAATTGCACCCCCAGATCCCTCTCCCTTTACCATCAATCCAATTTTAGATTGCCTCTTGATAAATTAAGGAATTTCATCATCTCTTGGGGTGGCTACAAAAGGCCATGGGAATCCCACAACTGGGTTCACTAATGTGTGTGCTGAACCCACGGTCACCTCTCAAAACCACTCTGAGCCTGCCCCTGATGAAGTGGCCTTGTGAGGGATCCAAGGCTGGACCGCAGCCGAGAGGGCTGTGACCTGGACTGAGCAAAAAGCTGGATCTCCTTGTTTCCCACTGATTTTAGCGTAGTTGAATGTGCTCAGTATCTTGCAATGATGTGTTTTACTATAGAAAAAAAAAAGTTAATAACACTCCATGCAAATATTTAGTCACTTGATGTAATACATCTGAATTTTGAGCCAGCAAACTATCCCTTCAATCCACTTATCAGTATTTTTCTCTGACTTTCTAACTTCAATTATTTTCTCATCATTGCGTTGGTCTTCCCTAATGCATGGATTACATGATGGAGCAGAAAATATGTTCTTGTTTATTCAAGGGAAAAATTACACAAGTAATTTTATTGCGTGTGTTTATAAGCAAAGGAACTTGCTTAAGAGGATGTGATTTCTAAAGTGTCTTCATATGTATTGCAAACATAAAAGAATTATACAAAGAGAGTGCTATGATATTTATTAACAGATAATATTTTTTTTCCCTTGATTCAGTGCTGACACAAAAATAGCCTTGCTCTTAGGTTTAAATTATGCTTTAATTAGGTTGTTATAAACTCACCTGTGACTTTATTAATCTTGCAAAAATAATGGTTGTTTCATGTACGTGGTGGCTGGAGAATAATAGTTTGTATTTGTTTAAAATGCTTGTTTTGTTAAATTAAGTGCTTAAACTAATTAAAGACATTTTTTGGGATGTCTCAGCTTTAACCTACTAAATGAGAGGCACAAGGAGGTACACATAGATACTTGCTTATTGCCCATAAATCCACGCTTATTACAACTGTAAACTCTGGAATACAACTTTATGACTCCCATTTCATTGAAGACTATATAGGCTATTGCTAATGCTAGAAAAAAAGACATTTGAATAAGAGCAATTTTGATTTTTGGGTTTGATTGCTTTTAATTGTGAATTATGTTGAAGTACTGTAGTCATTATCTTAAAAACTATTTAATTAAATGTAAGCATCCAACTGTGCGTCTTTTCAAAGAGCCAAATTGCTCTAAGATCTTGAACGGAAGAGTAATATATATATATGTGTGTGCAAGTATCACAGGGTTTAAAAAACATTCTCTCCTCAGGTTGCGTGTGGGTTTTTTGTATTTTTTTTTTAGAATTTCCTTATTTTAGGGTGTCTCAGTTACAGCTTTAATGATTCTTTTAGTCTCTATTTCATGTATGCAATTTGAATTCCTGAAATAATAAGCAGCAATTCAGAATCACAACACAGAGGATCATATCTGCCACGTGAGTCTTTAGATCCACCTTACAAAACTCTTCCACCTGAGCTGATAGCTGATGTGGGTGGACATTAAGGATAAGATTCAGCTATGGGGAGCAATATGCAAACATCCTGGGCAAAGAGGGGGATGAAGACCTGAGTCCTGATCCAAGCAGTCTGTCAGAGAGGAAAAAAGACTGTTCTGTGCACTGCCACCAAATCCGAGCTCTTTTGCTCTTAATTTTTTCTTTTCAGTCTCTCACTCTTCTAATTACATTTTCTCCCCTCAGAGAGATCATTGTCCTCCTTCCATTTTCACTCCTGTCCCCATATTTGCACCAAATTGATACCAGAGCCCTATCCAAATGTCAGTCCTCTCACTCTTTGTTCCTCACCCCCCCGACACACACACACGCACAATTATTCCCCATCTCTCCTGTCTGAACCTCTTTCTTTCCCTGGTTGCCTTTTTACTCACGTCTTCTCTCTTGGGTTTTTCATTTTTCAGTGTCCTTAATCTTGCCTTTTCTGCCACTCTCTGGGATGAGCTTATCTGTTCTCTCCTCTGCCTTTCCCTACCCCATTTATCAGGAAATCTGTCTCTTGATTGCCCCTCTTTTTCCCCATTCCCTATGTCCATATGCCGTGTGGGTCTGTGCCCCCTCCGATGTGTGGACACCTCGCCGGTTACACAAACCAGCGAAGGTTCAGCTGAGGCTCCTGCCCCAGACTTCAGGCATGTCTGTGAGTTAATGACTTGAGTTAAAGGATCAGCATTAACTTTGAATTTTCTGGCTTTCGACTTTTCTTCTCACAGCTTGACATTTTTGTAATGCTTTGTTTTCCTGGTACTTCAAAAAAAAACAGATGGGGAATAATGTCACAGCAGAATGCATAACCCTCGCTTTGGCAAGCCTGCCACCCCATTACCACGGCTCTCTGGGGCTGGTTAATGTTGTTATCCTTGGCTGTCCCGGAGCATTTCCCCCTCCTGGCACCAGCTGCCAGAAGAGCCACCGCTCTCTGTCGCATCCCAAAGCCTGCGTGGCCACCTTGGAGAGGTGCCACCATGGTTAGGTGGCAGCAGTGGACAGGCCTCTCGGCAGGGAACCCACGGCCTTGTGGTGGTGCCTAAGAACAACAAAAAAAAGCCAAATAACTGCGGTGACATGCTGAGAGACAGCCAACAAGGAGGGGTCTGCCCATGGGCAGAGCGGAGGATCGATTCGCTAACCTCCTAGATGCTTCTCACTGATTTTCTGCAGTACCTTGACAGAAACCAGATACTACAGTGATAGCTAATTTAAAGGTATCAATAGGCAGTCACACTCCAATCTCCTGAATCCCAAATCTTTTCCTTAGTCACACAACCACCGTGTCCCTCCTCAGCTACCCAATACGCTTAATCTGTGCGATATTACACACAGTCTGCTTTGAGCTGTGACAGATTGGGGCCATGCAGACTGTTTCAGAGGTATGACCCAACTTAGTATATTCTAGGCGTGACTTCAAGTAATTATGTACATGGATGCAACTTTGCCCAAAGACATTTTTTTTATGAGCGGTGAATATTTACTGCAGGGATGTGGCTCTGCTAGCCCTCACTGGAGCTCTGTGTGCTGTACCTCGCTGGTCAGGGAGAGGTTGTGTAGCTCCCCCATAGCCACATCTCATCTCAAATGCCTAGAGGAAGCAAATGGAATTGAAAATGCTTCGTTTGAACTTGAACTGAATGCCATCATCTGGATGTTTAAAATGGAGTGGAATCAACTCGATCTGAAAAAAATTGAAAAAGTATAATTGGGGTTAAAGTGTTATTGGGTCCTCATCAAATGCAATTAGAGGGAGAATATTCATGTTGTGAATAGCACACCTTTAATCTTAAAATATTTCAGAAGCTCCATATGTGTGGTTTTTTTTTTTGCTCTGCATTTGCAGGAAAGTTCCAGCCTAGGTTAATAATATAGTAGCAGTACTTCACAATGCTCTCCAATGTACAGAAGTAGCTATTAAACTGTCAACAGCACTAAAAGATGATATTTTGATGGCAATGGATAGGAACCCCATCTTCCCGCTCATGCTACTCAACATTTCTGTAGCTTTCAAGCACAGTCAACCACAATTTGTCACTGACTTGCATACGTGACATTGGCTGAATAGGTAGTCTGAGCTACAACTGTGTCAATCAATTTTTTCAGGCAAAATGCACATAGCATCAGTAGACAGCCGTTTCCTTTTCCTCCTCTGTAGCTCTTGATTGCACTCGTTCCTGCTCACCATCTACCTGGAGACCTCTAGAGAAGGTGCTGGACATGCCAACTTCACTGCTGAAGCTGTTCTGCTGATATCGACCTGCATAATCCCCCTTCACAGCTGCAGCCAGAGATATCATTATATATACAGAATGAAGATCAAATTCAGTGTTGGTACATCCAGCAGGGAAATGTTTCAAAGGACCGAGCTGGCCAGTATCTGCCTGGCTATCTATCTTCTCCTTTTCTGCCCAGCCTTGCCTTTCCTGTTGCACATATCCTAAAGGATGTTTTAAGCACAATGCAGGTGAAGAAGTAGTGTTATTTCAGGGGAAAACATATTTTTTGGCCATTGTTAAAAATCCCATTATGGGAAGATGTGACCTCAGCAGCAATCACTGCGTCCACTACCTTGAAACCCTCCCGTACCTGCAAGCTGGAAGAAACAACAAATTCTGGTTTGTGTCAAAATCTATCAGATTACCATAAACTCTTCTGTCCTTGCTGCAGTTTTAAACTGGTGACCCTTTGTCATTCAATCCCATCTGCATCAGAGACTGAACAAAGTTGTGCATTTCTCAACCTGAACAGTCTAGAATAAGAATGTCAGCAGCAGAAATACGCTCCACTTACAAGATCTCAGGCGAAAGAAAATGATTTCATAGTCTTGTACGCTAAGTTGTTTTTCTTTCCTGTCTTAACCAGCATGGTGAGAAAATGGTGAGAGGAAAATGTGTGCACCTGGGTTATTCTAGAAGGGCCCAGCAGCAAACATTATGAAGTCTGCCATGAAATGTTTATCAGTCTAATTACCATTACAATGTAATGGTTCTCTGGATGAATCTTGAAATCAAGTGCAAAACTCTTTGATTTAAAGATTACCGAAATCACTGTACTCAGCTGACAGGAAGACAGGCACTGTAGACTTCAATAAACTACTTGAACACAATACAGAGCTAAAAGGATTTTAAGGAATTTGTTCTTATCTTCTCTACATTTCAAATCTATGCCTGCTTTGAGTCTAATAACTTTGTATTACTTGTTTGACGAAAGCATATCTTCTGGAAAGGTATCTAGGAAATGTAGAGGTCACTAATGCACTCGGTGGGTTTTTCTAGTGAGTAATCTCCTTCTCCATCAGAAGTATGTACCTCAGAAGTACTTCTACTACAAGTATTTGCTGCTTGTAAAACCCTTGTACACTATACTCGAGTTAACTCTCAATATTCTTTTCAACAGCAAACCAGCTTGAATCACATATTTTTAAATCCTTTTTCCTTAGCAACTCCAAATAATTTCTGTGGCTATTTTTTAAGTTCTCTTACTTGCCAGCGTCCTATTTAGAATATGGATTAAAAAAACACTAATATAATGTTCTTGATGAAAAGCTAAAATATGCTTTTATTTATTCCAGTAATGCATTATATACCTTCACAGGTAATTGACTTAAAAAAATCCTTCATTGTCTTCAATTACTAGTTTTGTCATCAAATGATCAGAATTATTATTATTTGTTATTATTTTCAATTATTATAGATTCCTAGATGGTTGACACTGAGGAATATAATGGCCCTTCAGCTGATTATTTACAAAACTGTGAATAATAATTTAAACGTCACATTGAAAAATATCACCTTCTAACTCCCCTTTAAAAATGATGCTGCCAGGTATGAGTGATTTTTTTTTTTTTTTTAGTGGATTTTTCATTGCAGTTTTTTCCTGTATCCTGTTTTTAGAACAAGAACGTTTTGCAAGCCAGGTGTTAGCTATTTAGCAGTCCTAGAGGTCATTACCAAAATATGTGCAAACCCACGTGCGAGCGGCATTCTCGGAGATCTCCTCTTAACTTTGCTTGAGAAGCACTCAGAAACAAAGAGCCCGGCTTCAATATTTAAGTCAAGGAAATGAAACATTCATGTGCTGCAGCGAGATATTGTTGCTGTAGCTGAACCGACCCGTGCCTGCCTGCCTGAGGTTTGGAATGCAGAACAGGATTTATATTCGGGCCGTAAAACCTGCGTTTAGGGACACAAATTCCCACCAATCAGACTAAATAAATCAGCGGGCCCAGGTTTTATCATCACAGATAACCCTCATTAATCCAGCAAGCTTTTCCCGAAGACAAAGGACAAAATGAATTGCTTCATTTGCGCTGCCTGAGCGGCATGCTAATGTGGGGAGGTGGAGGCATGAATAATTCATGGCTCGCAGCCTGAGCAGGCAGCCCCTGGTTGTCCCTGTCACCACCGCAACAAGTGGCGGCCGTCCCATCGCCGTCCCAGCACCCAAATGCCTTCTGGAGGGAGCAAAACCCTCTGCCTGCCCTGTGCCCGTCACGGCCGGCTGGATTTCAAGGTTCAGCCTCGTGCGAAATGGACCCAGGAAGCTCAGTCCTTTGTAACTCAGCTGTACTTGACCATAAACTACTGTTCGTGGAAGGGAGCCGGGTGCCTCGGTGAGTTTGTGAAACTTTTGACGTTTTCTCAAGCTGTTGCAAACTCTTTCCAGGTGATGGTAACTTTAACGTGTCGTGTTTTGCCAGGCTGCCTAAAACCTGCATGCATTCTTTTTGCTTTAAATGATTTAAAGGAGCCTAGGAAGGCGTGCAGAATCTTCAGATTTAAATCCAGGAAATATGTAAACAAGTATCTACAGAACTGACACTGGAGTTACAGTCAAGCCTTCTTAAATTTACTTGTACTGTTTAAATTTTCAAATCCCTGTAGCACACTACTAAAACAAAATATATTTATGATCCAAATTTGATTTCTTGCAGCCAAAACTGAGACTAATGTAACTCACTGTCAAACTGGAAAATCTGAAAGCATGTTTGTTACTCTTCGTAAGGAATTTTGGTTCCTTTCTGTAAGTGTAACTTGTATGGCTGCTTCTTTTTTTTTTTTTTTTTTTTTTTTTTTCAGCTAAAGATATTTCTGATTGGTTTGGGAACAGAAACTGGGGCTTTCCTGCTATTCTTACAATGCACTAACTATTCTGTTGTATCATAAAATAGTTGAAAAATGTTAGTAACTTCCCCTCTTTTTCTAAGGATATAAAGGAGTTATATTTTGCATATAAATCATATGGCATTGATGAAGTAAGTGTAGACTTAATCCTTCATTATAACACCAGCACTTTTTGCTCTACTATTCATTATCAGCCTACCTACCTATAATATTTGTCTCAATTGTTTGCCAGATTTTTGTTGTTTTCTGGTAGTGATACCATCAGCATTTCCTGCGAGCTCTCAGGTAACTCACTACTTGGCACAGTTAAAAAATTGATATAAATAATCAGCTCCCAAGAGGAGAGGCTGTGAACAGGAGCATGAATATGAAATGAATCATAAATAAGTTTTGATTGTGGATAATAAGCTCTTCCTATTTTTATTTGTTTGCTTTTAATTAGATAGTCCAGATTCTGCTGCTTCTACTTTATTTTCTTTGTTTTGATCATAAAAGCATTTTATTTGACATCCAAAAGACAGCCACATTTTGAAGGGATAAAAGTACAGCACAGTGATATCTAGTGCTGACAGTAATTAAATGCCCTGTGTTTTAAACAAAACAGGAAAGAAGAAAAAAGAGGTGAAAATAGGGATATGTAAGTAACAGGAGAAGTGCAAACAATGGATGTAATCCTGCACTCCTTAATCATGGGAGTAATCCTTATTCACGCAGGTAATCCTATTGGTTTCAACAGACTCACATCAGTAGGTGCAGTAGCATGAGGCCCATATTTTTCCAGGAGATAACGACGCCTGTCTTACCTGGATGTTCTGTAATGTAGTTTTAGCAACACCGTTTTTAGTGGTGTTTGAATGCATTAAAGTGATAATACTAAATTATACTTTGCCAAATGTCTCTTTTGCTTCTAAAAGTGTAAAAGAGAAAAATGGAATAATGCATTAGATGTGTCAGTAAGATGGTACGAACCCAACGTACTTTATTAGAGAGGTGCTTGCAGTAGAATAGCACTACTCACCTTGGTAACTGTATGTGTAGATTATTTTGTGGTACATGAGGTACATAAACTTTGCTTCCTTTAGGTTGGAACACAACTTCAGCATAAAGTCTCTGTGACACCTGATGTCTCATAAAGTACATATGGGTCTCCATAAAAGTGGTGTTGATGAACATCGTTCACCTTTCTGCTATAAAAGAGCGTGGATTTTGTGGTAATGTCCTGTGAATACTGTTGTTTTTTTTTGCTGATACATTCTCTGACCTTGCCAAAATAATACCTTGGGAATAATGCATTTGCATAAACCTTGTGGTGGTGTTACCCCAGTGCTCAGCCCAGCACGGCACTTCTGTGCTTTCCACCCCAAGGCTGTGTAGTGCGTCCCTGCAGCCCAGGATAGGGCTGGGGAGCACCTGTGTGCCCTTCCCCAGGCAGTGCGTCTATTAATGAGGGAAAACTAATTACTTAGAAGCTTTCAGTGCAATGGGGTTGAGAAGTGTAAATAGTCATGAGCTACAACTCTGCAAGTCATCAGCCTGTGTTTGTGCTGGATGCCAACCGTGGATATGAAAATCACCCTCCAAACATTGTGGCTGTTGCTGTGTGAAGATGCTTATTCTATGCAAATATTCTCTTGTATGCACCCCAAATGGATCAAAGTACAAATGAAATAAAAGCATAATGGATGATGGTTCCGGATGACATGCAGAACTTGCACTGAAGTGAAGTTGGTACTTGGCTTTTTGTTGATTGCACTGAGATATCAGACACCTCTGCACAGAGATGTCCTAGAGAAGCAGTTGAATGCTTAGGCTCCATGGCTTTACGGGCAGTGGAGGGCTGGAGGCGATAAAATGACCAGTGCCAAGAGGCTGGAGGGGCAGGCTGGCTGGCTGCTGCCGCCAGGGAAGGCCTGGAGTGACCCTTAGCTGCAGCATTTTTTTTTCCTTACTCCATTCAGGTCCCAGCAGGAGCACTAAGTCTCTCCAGGTAAGTCCCTTTCTGGCCCCTGTCCACGTTCCATGGCAGGAGCAATGTAATTTGTAACCCTTAGAGCACCCTGCAAGCATTGGTTGCACCGTTAACTTGGACTTCATAACCACAGTTCTGAGAATATTTTTTTCTAGATCTGGTTACAAAAAAAAAAAAAAAAAAAAAAAAGAAAAAAAGAAGTGCTCTAGATGGCTCAGCTCATTTGGTACCAGTAATCATGTGTGCGGTGATTTGGGACAGCCTGATCTCTTCCTCTGTGCATACAAGCTGTGTATAGGAAGAGGCATTTTCCATAGTCACTGACACATCATTCTCATGCCTTTTTTCGGCTGAGGGTACTCGCGTCTCCTTGCTTCCCACCCAGGACAGAGGGCAGGGGGATGGATAACCTCTGCTGTTTCCTCAGGTCAGAAGCTCTGTAGAGCTGAGCTGTGGGTCTGCACGCTGCAGGTAATGGCACAAACAGGTTCTCTGTGGTTTGGCAGCGTTCCCTCCTTTGTGTCAGGCATACATCGCTGCTCTTTGGGGTGGGGGCAGAGGCAGCACACTGTGGCAATTCACCCCAGCTGCAGGCACTGCTGTGACTCCTCCAGTTCCAAGCCCAAGGCATGCGTACAGGTAGAGGAAATCTTCTAGTAGTTGTTTTGCAGCTGGCAGAGGAAGCAGAAAGACTGGAAAAGCCAGCGTGCAGCCCACACAACATGCAGATTGAGCAACCCTGGGAGTGTGGCCCTGGGAAAGATGAGCACTGGTGGAACCACTTATTTTGGTGGAACCACTTATTTCACCGGTCCCTCGGGTCAGAGCCCTGGAACAAACTTCAGCTGATGTGGCGTGATGTGGTCACTGGCTGTGGAGCTGGAGATGTGCCCCGTGGCTTAGCATGTCCTCATGTTGGGACTTCCAGGTTTGTTGCTTTAGGACCGTGGGGACAGCAGTGCCACCTGTGTGCCACCGAGTGTCCCCAGTGGAAGGGAGCCGTGAACCACTGCGGATGATTCAGTTTGGTCTTTATCCTTATCAAGAGACCAAACCAACACAACTGCCCTAATTATACGTTTATAGCTGACTAGTAGCTTCTAAGCAACTTCTAAGTGGAGGAGCTGAGCTGCTGTGACTGTACATACTAAACAGGGCCACAGCATAGATGAAACTGCAGTGCATACACTCTAAAAATAAAGGCATTTGCTTGTCCTCCGTGTGTTCCTTTGCTGTAACCCAGCTCTGTGACTGAAGCAGAACTGGAGGAGCAGCAGCACTCACTCTTGTAACTGATCCAGCCCAACCCCAGGCTGATATCCTCCAGGGCATGTTTCAAGGCTGTTCTTCTTTCATACAACATCGCTCTTGCTTCATGTGACATTTCTGTC